AGTAGACTTGGTTGTAGGTCCTTGCCTTTCATTACCTGGAATATTTTGTGCCAGTCTCTTCTGGCTTGCAGTATTTATGTTGAGAAATCAACTGATAATCTTATCAGAGCGCCCTTATAACTTACTACCTGTTTCTCCCTGGCTGCCTTTAAGATTCTCTCTTTGTCTTTAAAACTTGCCATTTTAATTATGATGTGACTTGGAGTATGCCTCTTTGGGTTCATCTTTATTGGGACCCTCTGTGTTTCCTGAACTTACATGACTTTTTTCCTTCACCATATTAGGGAAGTTTTCTGTCATTATTTTTTCAAACAGGTTTTCTATCCTTTGTTCCTTTTCTTCTCCTTCTGATATTCCTGTTATGCGAATGTTGCTGTTTCATGTTGTCCTGAATCTCCCTTAAACTATCCTCATTCTTTTTTAGCCTTTTTTCATTTCTTGCTCTGACTGGGTATTTCTTTCTATCTTAACTTGCAGCCCACTGATTTGGTCCTCTGCTTCATCTAGCCTACTCTTAATTCCTTCTAGTGTATTTTTCGTTTTAAATATTGTATTTTTCATATCTTCCTGGTTCTTATTCATAGTTTTTATGTCCTTTTTAATGCCACTGTAGTTCCCACTAAGTTCCTTGTAGCTCCCATAAACTTCCTTGTAGTTCTCACTGAGTACCTTGAGCATTCTTATAACCATTATTTTGAATTCTATGTCTGATAGGTTGCTTGCCTCAATTTCATATAGCTCTTTTTCTGGGGATTCCTACTTTCCTTTCGATTGGGGGTTATTTCTTTGTCACCTTATTTTAGGTGACTCTTTTTTGTTTGTTCCTGCGTCTCAGGTTGCTCTTCTTTGTCTACTTTTCTTTATGGGTTAAACTTCTGTGGTAGGAGTTCTGTGGGACTCAGTGGTGCAGTCTCTTTGACCTCTTGATCTGGATGCTCTAGGGTTGCCCTTTGTTTGGTGTCTAAGCTTTTTTGTTGCACTTGGGCTTTGATCATTGATGGCTCTTTCATTGGTGGGTTCTCCCCTAAGGCTGGCTGACTGGGAGTCAAAACCCCCACCATGTCTTGTATGCTATTGTACAGTTGCTGGTTAACAAAGCAATAATACTACCCAGGAAAACCAAACTCACACCAGTAAAAATACCCACTACCACATCAGCAGTATCAACAGCAATTGAACAAAGATTAATAAAAGTGAAAAGAACCTTATAAAAATATTATAAGACAGGAAAAGGGAATATGAGATGATTAAAGGAAAGAAAAATGATTTTGAGAGCAAAGAGGGAGCAGAAATAATAAGAGTGGGGAATATAAACAAGACAAAGAAAGGGAGAAAGTAAAATTTTAAATGTAAATAAAACAGGGAAGGAAAATGGCAAAATGTAGTAAGAAAAGGGAAGAGTATAATGAGGTTTGAAATAATATTTTAAAAAATAGTGAGCCAAAGGGAACAAAATCACAGAAAAACCACAACAGGGTTAATAACAAAGACAGACAAGCAAAGATTAATAAAGGCAGAAAAAGTATAATACTCTTATACAAAAGAGAAAAGACAGTATGAGATGTCTACAGTAAAGAAAATAGATTTTGAGCAGGTAGAGGGAAGAGAAATAATAAGAGTAAGGAATAGAATCCAGGCTAAGAAAGTGAAAAATAAAATTCCAAGCTCAAAAAAGCAAAGGCAAGAGGGAGGCAAAATGGAGTAAGTTAGGGGTAGAGTAACCTGTGAGATTTGAAATTTAAAAAAAAAAGTGAACAAATAGGAATATAATTGAAGAAGATCAGCAATAAATGTAATATCCATGCCAAACAAGCCAAAACTTATAAAGGTGAAAAGAAAATAAAAGGATATCAAAAGAACGGGAAAAATAATGTGAGCTGACAAAAGAAGGAAGAATGATTTTGAGCGAATAGAGGGAGGAGAAATAGTAAGGACACGACAAGGCTTTGTGGAAAATAAAATTTTCAATGAAAAGAAGGGCAAGAAGAAGGCAAAATGGGGTGAGACAAGAGAAGGGTACAATGTGAGATTTGAAATAAAAATAAAATTTAAAAAAATCTAAATAAAAATAATTAAAAGTAAAAGACAAAGAATAGTTAGTTACTCGTAATACAATTGAAGCAGAAGAAGAAACAGTAAAAGACTACGTGAAAGAAAGAAAAAACTAATGGAAATTCTGAAGAAGAAGGAGGTGGAATTCATCTCAGCAGAGTTTGGTGTTTGCCTTCTGTCTTCCCTTTCTGGATCCACCTCTGGCTTTTTATCAGCTCAAGGTCCTGGGGTGAGTCATCCAGCTTCTGGCAGCACCATGTGTATCAACTTCACCTGCCTCTAGAGGGGGTTTCTTTTGTGTTTGGGAACATGGGACCCCTAGGTGTCCCCTAGGAGGTGCTGTTCAGTCTTCTAGGAAAATTGTAGGTGTTTCCCCTGCTCCTGAACCACCCATCTTGGTCTGTCCCAGCTTATTTCCAATAATGTATAGTTTCTGATGAATTAACTGTATGTTTCAAGTCAGGGCCAATCTGTGGAAGAGGGTCAGCTCTTTTTTGCTTGGTGCTGATGGCAACTCTGTGTGTGAGCTGAGGCTGGGCAGGGCCCTGATTCCCCCTTGCTGCATGGATTTCTGATCTCCCTGCCTTGCTGGCTTCAATGGAATAGGGCCTTAGGACCGAGTATATTTTGTCTCCCTGAGAGAAGTTCAAAATGGACGCTTTACAAGTTTCTCTTCCTGTCTTTCTCTTATGGGTATGCACCCCACAGGGGGTTCTTGAGCCTGTCCTACCTGTTTTGCAGAGCTTCCCTGTTGAATGTGGTGGTGCTTGCAGTCCTACAGGATTCTGCAGGAAGTGGCAGCTGGGTGTGACCTCCCCTTCCCAGAGGTTTGATCTCTGCTGGCCAGGAAAGGGGGCTCTGTCTAGCTCTAAATAATCTTGGGTGCTCAGCTCTTCCCTGTCCAGTTAAAGCCCACTGGACTCCCAGCAGACACAGTCCCAAACTCTCCAATCGGAGCAGCATCTGGCCTGTTATCTGTGTCCAGCTGGGATTGAGAAATCCCCTTGCTATTCACCCTTCTGATCTCTCTGCCCAGCTGCAGTCAGTGGGAGCAAATCATACTTTCAGTTTTTTCCCCTTTGCTGGCAGGCAGCGGCACACAGGGTCCCTGCCCAGCATGCTTCAGCTTCCCTTTTAAAAAGTCTTTTTGAGCATTCCCACTGCAGCACTGAGTCACTGTCTGGTTTTCCACATACACCACCTCTCCCAAAAGCCAAAAGTCTCTCACAGTCACAGCTGGCAGCAGCCTGCCTCTGCCTGACCCAGGTGCAGATAGAGTCCCTCTCTCTCTCCGGCACTCTCCTGGCTGGCATTGGCCGCTGAAGCTATGGTGTGCTGTTCACTGTGTGTGTGTAGCCTGGGTCTGTCCAACTTGGTCTGTCCAACTTTGTATATCCAAGTCACTCCCCGCCTGGGGGTTCTCTGCCCTGGAGGGAGCCCAAACTGCCATTTCTGACTAGGCTCTCCATGGCTGCAGACTCTGTGCAAGGAGTATTTCCCCATCAACCTATAAAATCTCCTTAACACCCATTGTGAAGTATATTCTGTTCTCCTTGGCTTCCAACCTTCAGATTCCAACCTTCAGATTCCAAACTTCATATCAACTAAGTTGAATGTTCTGTTTATTTGTCAGCATATCACCTGAGTATCCGAGTTGGGGGCAAGAGCAAGTGGACTCAGCTTCCACCTAGTTGGGCGCCATCTTCCCTCACAATAGCCTTTTACTATAGATAGTTTGTAAAGCTATTGGGCTCCAAACCAACTAATTAATTTCCCTCTGGATTATTTTATTTCAGTGGATATTTTTGTTGTAATTCACAATCTTTCTTGTTTCCTAATAACACATCTGGATTATATTATTTTAAGCCTACAAAATATCTAGGGTTTTTTGTTTCTTTGTTTTGCTTTGTTGTATTTTGTTTCTGTTATTTTACTATACACTATTATATATTTATTATAGTTTATTATATATATGTTATATGTAAAGTATATAATATGTAAATAGTATATATAACAAATTATATAACACACACACATACACACACACACACACACACACACACACATAAAATGTATATATCTAGGACCCTGGTTTTAAAAATCAACTACAATAATAGCAGTATAAAGTAGAAGTATCAATTTTTTAAGTGGAAGAGTCTTGATATTTATGTATATAAATACATAAATATATAAATATACATGAACATCAAGCTTCAGGCCCCTTTTTAGAAAAAAGAGGGGGACAATTTATTAGCTTTCTCCCTAAGTTTCCCCAAATATTCTCTGTAAAAGAAAAAGTACCTCTCCAGAGATCAGTATTTTCTGTTTTTCAACTCTGCTTTTTAAAATGGACATAATATACTAAATCTGGAGAGTTCATTGCATCTAAATATTAAAATATATGCATGTCTAGATCTATAGATACAAAATAACTTGTTCCACAAAATGCAGTTCATTATGGGATGAATAGAAAACAAATTGAATACATAATTATGTAAAAGAAAATCTTTTTTTTTTTTAGTCAGTGTAACTTGACAGATAATGTGTGTACTTTTTCCAGAGAAGAATAATCAAACTAAAAAAAAAAAAGCCCAATATAAATTGTTCATCATGATGACTAAACTGATTTGCAGTGGACATATAAAAGACAACAGTGATGTTAGAGAGAATAATTTGGTTTAGAGTTGAAACTTTCAGATTTCCTTTGTAAGCAAAGAACAGACCAACAGGCTATATAACAGCCCAACTTTATTCTTTTGACACACGTCAAAAATATAATTACCAGAAAAAAAATCCTTTATCATCATCTAGGATTCTGGTTTTAAAAATCAACTACAATAATAGTGGTATAAAGTAGAGGCATCAATTTTTTAAGTGGAACAGTCTTGAAATTACATTTACTGTTAGGTACATTATTGATTTTCTTTTCTGGTTGTCTTTCCTTGCAGAGAGTGAATCTGTCCTTCGATTTTCCATTTTATGGCCATTTTCTACGTGAAATCACTGTGGCAACTGGGGGTAAGTAGTTTTCTGCGCATTCACCCTGAATAATCTACAGTTTTGCTACAGTTATTATTTTTAATTTACTCCATATTTCAAGAGGGACATTTATTGGGAAAACCATTGTCTTCTGTCATAAAGTCACAGGTATAAATACAACCTAAAAAGACTAGTATAACTATTGGAAAAACTTTTCAGCAGGAAAAAAAATGTAGTTCTAATAATTTTCAGCTTAGATTCACCATTTCTGCTTTCCTCCTAAGTTTTCATTAGTTTTTGGTAGTATGGTAATACTGCATGAATGGGACTAAAGTAGAAAGAAAAGTTGCTTGAGGAAACTGTTGAGGTGTTTTATTAGGTTGAAATTTATATATATATATAAAACCACATGTATATTAGCTTTAATTATTTGTTTTCTTTTAATGTCACCTATGTTGACTGACAACTCATGAGAGAATTTTAAAAATAAACACTGGAATTCAGTGTGAATACTTTCTGTTTTGTTCTTCTCCACAAACTTTGGAGATGAGTTTAGAGATTAGCAATACCCTAGAAAGGCAATGATCAGTCTTTATAATATACCCCAGAAGTCAGGAATATTTTAATCTTTGATGGCAGAGATAAGCAAAATGCTCAGGAATATGCCTGCAGACCTAACATGGAGGAGTAGAGAAAGTAGAAGAATGAGAGAAAAACATAAAAATTAAAGAGTAAGTAAAGAAGCAAATTAAAGAAATCCATAAATGTGATGAAAAGGCTGCAGAATGTCCGTGCCCAAAGCACTGTAGACCAGAGCCCTTAACCTTCGCAGGGTTTTATTATTGCTCTTCTGGATGGTATTAAAAAAAATATTCATTACTCTTCCCGTTCTTTTATGTAACACTTAGGAGATATGTAGGATTCTAAAAAGCGATATGTAGTCAGAAGTATCAATGGTCAAGTAAAAGTTTTTGAGCACCCACCGTGAGCAATGGTGAGTAAAGCTACGCTGTGTTAGGAATACAGAGCCTAGTGGACTGTGAGACAAAGTCAAGTTGATTGTGGAGAGAGTTCCTTAGAAAAAGCACATGATGAAATATAAGTTTCCAGAGATGATAAAGCTCAAACATCTGTGAGAATTCTTTAAGATTTACAGAAAAATCACTGTTTAATCAAAGGCTATCACAGTTGCTCTGCTTGTGTAGGAAAAGAATGGATTTCAGGGAAGAACATCTTGAGTAAATATTCAGAAAAGGAAAAGGGGGGGGTGTACATTTGTAATAGTAAATAATTGAGTGTGAGTGGAACTGGGAGTATGTTTATAAAAAGTGTGGCATATTAAGATTTAAAAAAATTAGGTTGGGACAGTTTTACATAATGTCTCAAGGGTCAGTTTGAGTTATTAGTCCTTAATTAGGTAAGTAATAAATTTTAAGTAGATGAATGTAGACATTTGTGTTATGCCTTAAAGTATAAAAAATGTACTGGAGTTACTATTGAATACGTATAGTTGAAAGAACACTGCAATAGTTTGTGTGACAAATATTGAGGGGTTTGGTAATTCTGTGGCTTTAAACCAAGAGAGAGAAATGATGTTATGAACAAAAATTATGAACTCAAGCAGAAGAGCTAGTTTTAGAGAAAACCAAAGACTTCAGTTCTAAAACTCTTAAATTTTGTGTAAAAGGAAGGACTACATATAAGAAAGTTTACACAGAGACTGTCTTTTTGAGCTCACCATATATTTCTGCACTAGAATAGTGCCAGGCACATAATAGGCATTTAATTGGTGTGTTGAAAGGTTGAATGAAAAGGAGAAAGGTGAAATTAAAAAATTGCCCCATAAACCATGACTTACATCATGTTATTTCATATCTTTAAAGTATGGTTAAATATTATTTTATAGTATGGACATTAGTCATGTTTTCTAACATTAAAGTTTCTAATGTTCCACTGAACTTTGAAGTGAACGATGAATCACATTTGTTCAAAATGTATACACACAGTGATAAAAATATGAACGGCTTTGCATTTTCAATTTCTCAAATTGTTTTATCTTTAAAGCTCATGTCAGTGATTCAGCTAATATGAAATAAGATTTCTTTAGCTGAGTTGGTAGGAAAAAACCCAAACAGATGGCTGTATCATGTTTATTTCTCTAAGTCCCATTTTCCTCTGAAAAGATCCTCAAAATAAAAAAAGAATCTGGTGTCTTGAATGATTTCTGTCTTCGTTGAAGAAAGTACTAATGAAAGGAAACTTTTTTCTCTACTTAAAATGTGGTAGCATAAAACTTGATACCTCTTTTAGAGAGGCATAAGCAAGATATTTTAGACATTGAGCTGAGTTTCTTCAGAATGAAACCCGAGTCTCCTGCGAAAGTTATTAGCTAAATAAATAGCTTATTTGCACTTTCATTGATTATTCATTTAATAAATATTGATTGAGCCCTCACTATGTGAAAGGTACAGTACATGATACTTCAATGTATACAGAGAAGAATAAACTATGATTTTTTTCAGGAGCTTAAAATCTAAGAAGAGAAGGTGCATATGACTTTCAGTACTGAAGGAGCAAAACCTAATGCTCTTTCGTTCTTGTTGGGCCAATCAAGTACAGGCTTGTGAAAGAGCTAGCATTAGAATTTGGCCTTAGTGGAATTTTAGTAGGCAAAGAGGCAAGTTGAAAAGAGGTGGTTAAGGAAGGGGCATCCCAGCAAGGGAATGCTGAGCTAAGTGTCAGTGTTGAGCTCATAGTGTGCACATTTGGAGTTCCACTAAGTAAATGTGTTTATTTTGAATGGAGAATTGGAGTGCAAGTCTGCTGAAGAGACGATGCAAAGAGCAGTGAAGTACTCTGAAGGTTAGAAACCTGGATGGTATCCAGCAATTATTGGGTTTCTCTGAGAAAAGAGTGGATCTGCCCTGCTCTGGCAGTGGAGAGCAGGGTAAGGTGTAGGGATGAAGGCAAAGAGAGCAATTATCTCCAGGTTTTTCAATACTTCTCTCTAGGTTATAGTGCCTGAACTGGGATGTGTTCAATGGAGCAGAGAGAGAACTAGTGCAAGACATCATTTGAGTTGTTAAATCACTATGGTTGCAAAGATTTCCAACCAAGATCTATTAGGACTCAGTGAAAAAAAGTAAGGACACTTAAAAGGGGACTTCTGAACCACAGACTTCTTTTTTTAAGTTCTTGTTTATTCTATTACAGCTGTCCCAATTTTTCCCCTTTGCCCTCCTCTGCCCAGCCCAGCCCCCACTCCCGCAGTCAATCCCTACACTGTTGTCTATGTCCACGGTCCATACATGTTCTTTGTCTAATCCTTTCCCCGTTTTTCCACCATTCCTCGCTCCCCTCTCCCCTCTGGCAGCTCTGTGTCTGTTCCATGTTTCCATGTCTCGGGTTCTGTTTTGCTCATTAGTTTATTTTGTTCATTAGATTCCTCTTATAAGTGAGATCTGTGGCATTTGTCTCTCACCAACTGGCTTATTTCATTTAGCATATTAGCCTCCAGTTCCACAACAGACTTTTGATAGATTTCTTCTGTGATTGACCAGGTATTATAAGCAGATAGACCTGCCCAACAAATGCTCATCACCGTACAAATCTCTAAAAAGTTATTAACTGTGAAAGGCTTGGAAGAAAAATGGAAATCACAGTCAGGTTAAATAAAGTTTACTGAAGGCCATTCTAAAATAGACTGGAGACTGGGTTTTTTTAAGTAGGAACATGTAGGTTTCTGTGAAACTCAAATGAATAGAGATGTTTTCATATGTGTCTACAAATTCTTCTTGAACTTGTTTCAACATTAGATTTGGGGAAAAATAAGCAAAATGTTAAAGTGGACATTTTTAACTACAGTTCCCATATTCCTACCTCACTGTTTTTCCATTTCCCTTGCCTCCTTTAAAATCATAATCTCTTTCCTTCTTTCTGTCTCTTCTTTCCTCTCTCTCTCTCCCGCCTTCCTTTCCTCTACTCTCTCTCTTCCCATAGACACAAATTTATTTAAAACTGAACTGAACTTAAAGAGAATATCTTCTGTTAGTGCTAGAATCAATATTATTTTAAACACAAAGTAATTTAAAATAGAGATATATACATAATTTACTGTGACCCATCTGCATATTTTTTAATTATGAATAAACTTAAATTTCCAGTTAAAATATGAATAAAAACTAAATATATAGTCATTTATTTGTAAACTACAAAAATGAATCTTTGGTTCTTAAACATTTTAATTTTCAAAAGCTTCAGTCACCCACACAAATACTGCATAAAATGAATTGGAAAGACCATATTATATTTTGGTTCACTGGTAGCAGAATCTGAATGCATTCATTTATCTTTTTATTTTAAAAATACTTCAGAATATAAATATTTAAGACATTAAAAAAGCTAATTCTCTGTGCATTTTCATAAAAATATTTCCATCAATGGCACCAATAATTTGTATTGTTTGCATATCACACTGCCTTTTATTTTCTTCCTATATGAATACTTTGTTTTTTCTTTTACCATTACGTTGCTAAGGTGGTCTCTTCAGTGCCTCAGAAAGTAGATTTAGGTTTGATGGTATGATTTTTAATTCCTGTAGCCATCGGTAGTATGACCTTTTTCATGTGTCCATCGTGGGTACACAGAACTGTGAAGGGGGCGGAGGGGGGTGCTGCTGTAGACATTGGGGAAGAGGTCAAGTTGTCCAGATAATTCTGGCACCAAAATTTAAGTATGTAGATGGATGATGATTCCTAATTAAAATAGTGTGTGGAATTGCAGACAGTTGTACATGAAATTAGGAATCAAAAGTGACAGGAATGAAAAAGATAGTGATGAACATGTATTGTTTTCATTGACTGTATAAAGGATTTGCCCTCCCTTCCGTTCTGCACAAATTCCTAGTTGGAGATTTATAAGAAAATCACCTAGAATTAGATCTATTATATTTTGTTTTGCCACATGGTAATTAATAAAATACAAAATATTCATTAAGTAATCAATTTGTAATATCTTAAAGGTTAATACATGACATTAAA